ACTCCCAGGATAGGTACAGCACGGGATTAGATGCAGGGTAAAGCTCCCTCCGCTCTTTTAAACTGACAGTAAAGCTTTCTGAGGAAGGGTCACTGGACCCGAAACATTAACTCTGATTTTTTTTTTCTTCACAGATGCTGCCAGACCTGCCGAGCTTTTCCAGCAACTTCTATTTTTGTGCAAAGCTTTCTCTACACTGCCTGCATAAAATGGTCTCGATTTGTGAGCCATTTGTGAGTGCACTTAGACTGTAAACGTCAGCAGGTTATTGAGCTACTGGGACATCACACGTACCCAAGCTATGAAACAAGAGGCATTTTCCCTCTTTTGCTCCACATCTCTGATCACCTTGAACAAACATCCTGCCCATTCCAGCACTGAAAACTTCAATGAACTGAACTGCTTTTTTAAGAAGGAGAGATTTCCAGATTTTCACTCCCTTTGCATGAGTAAGTGCTTCCTGTAATCACACACGAAAGCCCTGGCTCCAGTTTCAAGCTTTGGGCCCTCATTCTGGTCTCCAAGGCTTGCCCCCCACAACAAGGGTCCTCCAACAGAGGAAACGGCTTGACTCTACTTGCACCATCAGATCCTTTAATCTTAAAGATCACCTCATAATCTTCTAGGGCTCAAGGGAATATCAGCCCAGCTTGTGCCACATGGCCTTGGAATATAACCCTTTTGACCTGGGATCATTCTGATGAACCTGCTCTGCCATCTACTACTGGAGAAGGTTCACTAGGATGGTCCTTGCTATGGAGGGATTGTCTTACCAGAAAAGGCTAAACAAGTTGGGCCTCTACTCACTGAAGTTTAGAAGAATGAGACGTGATCTCATATTGGATTCTTAAGGGGCCTGACAGGGTAAATGCTGAGAGAATATTTCCCCTCATGGGAAAGACCAGGACCAAAGGCATATTCTCAGAATAAAGGTGTGCTGATTTAAGACCGAGATAGAGTCAAAGAGCTGTAGAGCCTGGAAACAGACCCTTCGGTCCAACCTGTCCATGCTGACCAGATATCCTAAATCAATCTGGACCCATATGCCAGCTTTTGGCCCATATCACTCTAAACCCTTCCCATTCATGGACTCATCCAGGTGCCTTTTAAATGTTGTAATTGTACCAGCCTCCACCACTTCCTCTGGCAGCTCATTCCGTACACACTTACTGTGTGAAAATGGTGCCCCTTAGGTCTCTTTTATATCTTTCCCCTCTCACCTTAAACCTTCAGCCCTCTAGTTTTGGATTGCCCTGCTATAGGGAAAAGACCTTGGCTATTCACCCTATCCACGCCCCTCATGATTTTATAAACGTCTATAAAGGTCACCCCTCAGCCCCCAACGCTCCAGGGAAAATAGCCCCAGCCATTTCAGCCTCTCCCTGTTGCTCAAACCCTCCAACCCTGGCAACATCCTTGTAAGTAGTGTGGAGCTGGAGGAACACTGCAGGTCACAGTGCCTGGCCTGCAGTGTTTCTCCAGCTCCACACTGTATTGACTCTTGACTCCAGCATCCTTGTAAACTTTTTCTGAACCGTTTCCAGTATCACAACATCCTTCCTATAGCAGGGAGACCAGAATTGACCGCAGTATTCCTAAAAAGTGGCCTCACCAATGTCCTGTACAACCACAACATGACCTCCTAACTCCTATACTCAATGTACTGACTAATAAAGGCAAGCGTAGCAAACGCCTTCTTCACTATCTTATCTACCTGTGACTCTGCTCTCAAGGAGCTATGAACTTCACCCCAAGGTCTTTTTGTTCGACAACACTCCCCAGGAGATTACCATGAAGTGTGTAAGTCCTACCCTGAGTTTCTTTACCAAGACAAAAGACACAGATTGAGTGCAGCTGGCAAAAAAAGCAAATGTGACACAAGTAGATGTATTTTAACATAGTGAGAGATCTGGAACGCAGAGATCTGGGTCTGGAACACACTGCCTGAGAGTTTGCTGGCCACTGGTTCAATCAAGGCTTTCAAAGGAGAAGTGAATTGTTTTACGAAGAGGTAAAATTTGCAGGGCAGTGTGAAGAAGACAAGAGAGTGGCACTAGCTGTTACTAAGAGCCGGCACTCTCACGGGTGGGTGGGGGTCTGAATACCCTTCTCGTGTGCTGTATCCATCCTGTTACTGCACGTTTGAACATAAATGCACTCCATAGGATGTGAAGTGATTTGGATTATCTTAAAGTGGGGAAAGGTGCTTTGGAAGCACAAGCCCTTGTTTGTTCTTGAGTCACAGTAACATCCTGGTAGATCCTGCTTACTTCATGCTGCACTCCGACACAGACAGATATAAATGAACTCTGCCTGAACAAGTCCCTGGGCTCTGTTCCACAAGGGAGCAGTTTCTTTACCGCCCTGTGCCCTCCTGGATGAACGGAACCACAGTCTGGAACAGGCCCCACCCAAATCCTACCAATCCCAATCTTCAATCACAAGCCAAACATGATAGAACTACATTAACTCAGTGAGTATCATTCTCAGAAGATCAAAGTTTCAAGGCCCCAACTCTCGCCCTGTCCAAACCCAGGGTGAAACCCCGAGTGCAGTACCGAGGGGGTGCTGCACTGCCAGAGACGCTGTCTCTCGGATAAGACACAGACGTCATTGCCTGCCAGGCTGGACATAAGAGGTGGTCAAACTAAAGAGCTGAAGGGAAGTTCTCTTTTGGTATCCTGGGGCAAATACATATCCCTCGAACAACATCAACAGATTAACCGGTACCGCTACACTGCTGTTTGTGGGACCTTGCTGTGCCACAACAGGTCTGCTGCGCTGCTTACGTTGTAACAAGAACTGCTCTTCAAATGTACTTAATTGGCTGTGAAATGTTCTGGGACATCTCAAGGTAATGACAGGCATTACAGGAATGCTAGGTTTATCTTTGGGCTTTATGTGCAGCCACCCCAATTGGTCTCTAGGGATTGGGGAGAAGCAGGGAGGGAGTTGAGGGTTCGAAGTCAGAAAATGAGACAAGGAGGCCATTCAGTCCCTTGAGCCTGTTTCAAAGTTCAACGAGATCAGGGCTAATCTGCATCTCAACTCCATCAACCCAGCTTTGTTCATTGACACTGATAAGAACAACTTGGTTTGGGGATGGCTAGGGGTTTTGGTTGGTGCTTTTGTAGCTGGTGCACTTGGTGGGGGGGTTAAGCTTTTGAGAGGAGGGTAAAGGGTAAGTTCAGCGAAGGGAATGGAAAAGTTCGGAATGTTTGGGGTAGTTTCGGAGATGCTGAGATGGGAGTTTAGATGAGGAGGAACTACTCAGCTTGGAAGGGTCAGAGGTGGTTTTGGGAAGAGTTTAAAGTTTTTGGGAACTTTGGGAGATTTTGAACGGTCTTTAGAAGGGGACGGTTAAAGAATTTGGGTCTTTTTAAGCAAGGTGTTTATGCTACTGAGGAAGGTTCCTACAATGATTTGGATTTACGAAAGGTTTGCAATTTTGCAGTGTTTTTGAGGGGGGTAGAATTTTCAGGAGGAAGTAGTATTTTGGGAATTTATTAGTCCTTTGGGGGGAGGATTAATGCCTTTTTGAGGGTCAACGTTCTTTGGAGTTGTGGGTTAAGGGTGTCTTTAAGGGGGAGGTTAACTTTGTGAACTTTTTTGGGTTGGTTAACATTTTATTGAGGGGGTTTAACGGGATTTTTTTGTGGGGGGACAAGGTTTAACACTCACGGGGTAAGGTTCTATGTGGGAGTTTAACAGCTTTCTGGAGGAGTTAAGGTTAATGGGTCTTTTTGGTGGGGTTAACATTTCTGGGGGGGGATTAACTTTTCTTTAGGTTTTTTTGGGGGATTAATAGGTTTTACAGGGAGAGGGGTTAACAGCTTCTTTTGTGGGCATTAACAGTTTTTTGGGGTTTAATTTTTATTGAAGGGTTAATGCTTTTTTGGGGGAAGAGGGCTTCAAAGTTTTTTTGGTGGGAGTTAATAGTATTATTGACGGGGGAGAGCATTAGTGGTTGTTGTTTTGGGAGGAGAAGGAGGCTTAATGGATTGGGGGGGAAGAAGAACATTTTTTGGTGGGGGGGGCAAGGGGTTTAATGGTTTTTCTTTGAGGGCAGGTGGCTCAGTGGTTAGCACTGCTGCCTCACGGCGCCAGGGACCCCGGTTCGATCCCACCCTCGGGTGACTGTCTGTGTGGAGTTTGCACATTCTCCCTGTGTCTGCGTGGGTTTCTGCCGGGTGCTCCGGTTTCCTCCCACAGTCCAAAGATGTGCAGGTTAGGGTGGATTGGCCGTGCTAAATTGTCACGTAGTGTCTGGGGATGTGCGGGTTAGGGTGGATTG